ACACACACACGCACACACACACAGAGTCAATTATATCGGACTATCTCTTGTCTCTTTTCATATCATTTACTATCAACCTTTGTGTTTTGCAACCACTATATAACCCTATGGAGTGTGAACTGAGTTTGACAGACTCTGGACTCTACCAACCCTAAAACTAAGAACATCTGACTCCTGTAAAAAGCTTCCTCACCTTGTTAAAGATATGTTTAAGGCTTATAAAGCCTTACGGACATTTCCTCTCCTAAGCTGGGTGTAGTGGCACGCCTCTGAAACCCTAGCCTTTAAGAGGCTAAGGCAGAAGGATCTGGAGTTCTAGGTCAGCCTGGGCTACTTCAGAAGATCCTGTCTCAGAATAAGAAGAAAGAGGAAGAGGAGGAGGAGGAGAAGGAGGAGAAAGAGGAGGAGGAAGAGAAGGAAGAGGAGGAGGAAGAGGAGGAGGAGACCACCACTGCCTGTACTCTACCTTGTGAAGACAGTGTCCAGGTCCTACAGATTGCCCGCTTCTCTATCACCCCTACTTGCTGACCTCTTTCACACGTACATCTCTTACCTTTGAGATTAATTTGTTCATCTTACCCAGAGACCTTGAAGGATTTTTCTTTATCTTTTTAAAAAAGACTTCTTTTTGTGTGTAGGAGTGTTTTGTGTATGTGTATGTACGTGCACCAGTATCACACAATGCCCACAGAGGCCAGAAGAGGGCATCGATCCCCTGGAACTGGAGTTATAGGAGGTCGTTAGCTGCCATGTGGGTGCTGGGAACAGAACCTGGGTCCTTAACAAGAGCAGGTAGTGGTCTTAACTGCTAAACCATCTCCAGCCCCAGATTTCCCATTTCTTTCCTGAGCAAAGTCAACTCATTTCATATTTTCTTATTTTAACTAATTTCTCCATTCAAGATTTCTCCCTTTTTAACTAAATTCTTAAAAAATTTTTTTTTCATATTTTATTATTTTTATTTTGTGTATGTGTGTATTGCCTGCATGTAGGTAAGTGCACCTGTGTCGTGCAACATCTGTGGAGGATAGAAGAGGCCGTCGGATCCCCTGGAACTGGAGTTACGGACAGTTGTTAGCTGCCATGTGGGTGCTGGGATTCGAACCTGGGTCTTCTGCAAGAACAACCAGTGTTCTTAACCGCTGAGCCATCTCTCCAGCCCAATTTTTAACTAAATTCTTCATTCAAGATTTACTTTTAAGTTGGGTGACACATGCCTATAATTCCAGCACTCAGGAGACTGAGACAGGAGGATTTTGAATTTGAGACCAGCCTGGGCTACATAGTCTGTGTGCATGTGCATGTGTGCATGTGTACATACATGTGCATGTGTGCCTGTGATATGTGTGTGTGTGTGTGTGTGTCTGTGTGTGAGTGTGTGGAATCCAGGTAATGACCTCGGGTGTTTTTACTTAGGTGCTGTTTACCTTAAATTGTTTTTTAGGAAAGCTCTCTCACTGGCTTAGGGCTACTAAATTTTTTTTTTTTTGGTCTTTTTGAGACAGGGTCTCCCTGTAGCCCCAGCTGTCCTGAACTCACTATGTAGACCAGGCTGGCCTTGAACTCACAGAGATCTGCCTGCCTCTGCCTCCTGAGTGCTGGAATTAAAGGCATGTGCCACCACACCCGGCCTTCACTAAATATTTTTTTAGGCAGGCTAGGCCAGCTGGGATCTGCCTGTCCCTTTTTCCTTAAGGTATACCTGTTTTGTTTTGTTTTTTTTGTTTTTTTTTTTAATGTGCATTCTAGGGATCAAACTCAGGATGTCATGTTAAAGCCAGCATTTTACCAACAGAGCCCTCTCCCTGGCCTCCTGTCTTAATACCTCATGTATGTTCCTATATTTAATTTAATTTAGAGTTTTACAGTTTTCTTCTTTATTTTTTCCTTGGTGGGACTATTTTCATCAGCTAAAATGTTTAATTCTTCTTAATTCTATCAGAGAGAGAGAGAGAGAGAGAGAGAGAGAGAGAGACATACACAGAGACAGACAGACACACGCGTGTGCACACACAGACAGAGGTACAGATAAAAGGACAGCTTCTTCATGTCTCTTCTTGTTAGGGCACTGATCCTATCATGGGGGCTCTAGCCCCATAACCTCATCTAATCTAGTCACCTCTTATACCATCCTGTTGAATTGTGGGGGACCCAGGACCCAGTGTCAACTTGACACACCTGGGTTGAGGGAGCCTCAGTTGGGGAATTGCCTCCATTGGACTGGCCGGTGGCCATGTCTGTGGAGCATCTTCTTGACTGTTGAGGGATGTGGGAGGGCCCAGCTCACTGTGTGTGGTGCCACCCCTGGGCAGGTGGGCCTGTGTTGCATAAGAAAGCAGGCTGAACAGGGGCCAGAGGAGCAAGCCAGTAAGCAGCGTTCCTCCATGGCCTGTGCTCCAGCTCCTGCTTCCAGGTTTGTGCCCTGAGTTCCTACCTTGGGCTCCCGGATGAACTGTGACCTGGGAGATGTAAGACAAATAAACCCTTTCCTCCCCAAGTTGAAAGTTATCAGAGTGCTTTGTCACAGCAATGGAGAAACAAACGAGGACAATGAGTGTTTTGTCTGCATTCAGGGACGTGTACCACATGCGTGCGTTGTCTGCAAGGCCAGAAGAGGGTGTCAGATCCCCTGGATCTGCTGTTAGCGGCCACGTAAGTGCTGGGAATGGACCTGAGGTCCTCTGGAAGAGTTAAGTGCTCTTAACCGCCGAGCCATCTGTCCAGCCCCTAATTTTTATTTGTATTTATGTGTATGTGTGTATGTCTCTGTGTGTGCTAGAGCCCACAGGGGTCAGAAGAGGGTGCTGGATCCCCTGGAGCTGGAGTTACAGGTGGTTGTGAGCTGGGGGGAGATGGGTTCTGGGGACTGGACTCTGGTCCTCTAGAAGAGCAGCAAGTGCTCTTAACCACTGAGCCATCCATCTCTCCAGCCCCCTGAGAGAGATTTTCTGAAGGTCATCTATGTGTTCATTTTTTAAATTTACTGATAAGGAAAAGACTATAATATTTTTCATGGTCTGTGTGGTTACATTTTTTTCTTCATTAAGGGCATAACTTTTAGAGAATTGTGCAGAGTTTCAGGTATAATAACCCATCCTGACCCTGACTCGTGGACATCCCTTATCCACATCACTTTTCACACGTCGCCTCTGAGAACTTCTAAAGCAGGCTTTGTCCCTGAGCACTGTCCTCAGAGCTGTTTTCAGTCGGCCAAGGCAGGTTCGTCGAGGGTCTTCTCCCACTTCTTCCTGCTGCTTAGCATTCTGTTGTCTTAGGTATTTTGGCTGGAAAGTATGCTGGTGTTTTTTTTTTTTTGGTCTTCTGAGACAGGGTCTCCCTGAAGCCCCAGCTGGCCTGGAACTCACTATGTAGACCAGGCTGGCCTTGAACTCACAAGAGATCTGCCTGCCTCTGCCTCCTGAGCGCTGGGATCAAAGGCATGCGCCACCATGCCCGGCCCTGGAAAATACATTTTAAAATGAAGAACAAGATTAACAATTTGAAGATTAGGCTGGGAATTTGCAGAGATTGTCTTCCCAAGAGAAATTTTTAATTTTGTTCTCTATCAGGCATCTGGGAGGCCAGGAGCCAGGAATCATCCTAATCCAGGTTCAAAGTCTGATGCTTCTGGGCCGCAGAGATAGAGGAACACTTAGGTAAAGTTTGCATAGGGGCTGGTTTACTTCTGTTCACGTTAACCTGGAGGGGTCTCCACAGCAGGGCTGGGGAGCTTTGTCAGCTCTTCCCCGTGGAGAGTCCAGCTGTGGAACAACGCACTGGAAGGTTCTCCAGTGGGACTCGGTGAGGCTAGGGACAGTGAGGGGAACCGTCCTATGGGGTGAAAGGTGAGCTTCTATTTGCTCTGGGATGGCCCCCAGCACCTGCAGCCTTGTGCTCAGTAGAAGTGCTCAGTAAATCCTCGTTGACAAGTGAGTGGATGAGCAAATCCTAGGGGATGCACGGTTAAGGCCTTGGCCTGAGGCCGGACAGTTGCCTGGCCACCTCCCTCTGGATTGGGAAAGCCTCAGAAGGACCCCACCCAGCATTTCTGCTCTTGATAGCAGCTCCAATGACCTGACAGTAGACAGCCCAGGCTGCATACAGCTCTCAGGGGAGCCTAGGTGACCAGATTAGACAGCTTTCAGGGGATCTAAGGGGCCAGGCTGGAAACAACTCTCGAGGAGACCCCGGGGGTCAGCCTGCAGACAGCTCTGGAGGGCCCTCAGGGGTCTGGCTGCAGTCAGGCCAGGGTCTGGTGGCAGGAGCAGAGAGGTAGATGTGACGCAGCAGGAGGTGGGTGGAAAGTAAACAGGTCTGGATGAGGATGAGGGTGGAGGGAACAGGACAGTCTGGCTGCACGGCTGATGGTTCAGGGCAGCGGGAGGCCACAGGCCGGTAGAGCAGGAGGTTGTGTGGGCTAGGAGGAGGTGGAAACGTAAAAGAAGCTTTTGGGGGAATTTTTATATTTTTAATGATTGAGACAAAAGATACCCGAAACCACAGTTCCTGGAAGAACGTCTTGTTCTCAGCCAACCTGTACTCGCCCTTGAACTTGACCTTACTCCTGGCCTGACTGGCCTGACCCTGAAAAGCAGATACATTTGGGGAGGGTGTCAATCCTGGGAAGGCAGGGTGGCTAGCTTTAGAATGCTCAGTCTGGAACCTTCTGGGTGAAGGAAGTGTGGACAGAAGTGGGTTGGCACTGCAGTGTTGATTAGAATGAACTCCTGGGGCCTCTTTCTGCTCTGCCACAGGTCTGAGCTGGGCACCAAGGTCTCCACAGCTTAACACACACACACACACACACACACACACACACACACACACACACACACGCACATGCACATGCACATACATACAATTTGAATCATTTTATTTTGTAAGGAGCAGAGAGGCCAGGATGGTATCCCGGCAGTTAGTGGCCACCCACCCCGACTCTCAGAACCATATAAACGGTACATCCTGGCCCTGTGGTGTGGTGTGTCTGGACCACTAGGAGGATGAAAGTGGTATTGCTGTCTGCTCTTCTTGCTTGGGGCTTTGTGCCCAGGGCCCACGCAGTGTGGCTGGGAAGACTGGATCCTAAGCAGGTAACAGTCCTCCTGAGCAGTAAGCAGGTCCTTGGGGCCAGGTCCCACCTTTGAGGCCATATAACTTCTGGGTCCCCCAGGGACAGTTTGGACAGGCATGGGTGGAGGGGTGATCTGTATGAGGGTACCCTGAGGGAAGGGAGCCAGGTGCTTACCTGATGTTTCTACCTAGCTCCTCGGTCCCTGGTACATCCTGGCCGTGGCCTCCCGTGCAAAGGGCTTCATGGTAGAGAAGGACATGAAGAATGTGGAAGGTGTCATGGTGACCCTCACTCCAGAAAACAAGTTGAGAGTGCGGTCCTCTCGGCATGGGTGAGTGGCCAGCTTCTGCACCGTGGGTCCCCACACCGTTTTCCCTGGCAGCAGTACCTTCGCCAGGAGAGTTGCAGGCCACGTTTACCTGGTTTGGGCTGAGGCCTCTGACTCTGTATGTCTGCTCCTGGAGGGTAGGTTCCCCATCTGCATGTGCCCCCCATGGTGAACTTCCAGCCCCTGTGCTCGCCAAGGAGGGCTCCCCATCCCCCTGGGCTCCCTGCATTCACCCTCTGTCAATAGCCTTGACCTCTGATGGTACGCACTGATACTCCCTTGTCCTTGATGACTTGGCTGGTCCTGGTGTGCAGCCTGCCCTTCCTCTCTGTGAGCCGTTTGGAGCTGTGGAAGTTGGTTCACGCATTTGGTCCTCAGGGCCACGGGCTCCTCCATGGAGGAAATTCCTTCAGCAGTGAGGTCTCCAAGGCCTCAGGCCTAACTTGCTGTGGGGTCCAGCTGGCACAGCAGTCTCTGAGGTGCCTGGTGAAAGCCTGGTGGAGGGGAATTAGGATGAGTGCCTCTCCTCAGAGCAAAAGATCAGGGCCCTGTTCTAGGCTGAGGGCGGCTCAGCTGGACTGGCAGGCTGGCGGCTCAGCAAGGACTTGAGCCACCAAGGCAGAGTGGGGTCACTGTGACAAAATGCCTCGCATAAACAATTTATAAGGATGGACGGTTTACCCAGGCCCATGGGTTCCAAGGTTTCAGTCCTTGGCCAAGTTATGGTCCCTGTTGCTTTGAGACCACGATGGCTCAGTACATCATGGCAGAGAACACAGAGTAGAGGAGGTGGCTCATTTCATGGTGTTGAAGAGAGAGAGAGAGATAGAGGGAGAGAGAGAGAGAGAGAGAGAGAGAGAGAGAGAGGAGGGGGAGGAGAAGGAAGAGGAAGAGGAAGAGGAAGAGAAGGAGGAGGAGTCCTCAGTGATCTAACTTCCTCCCAGGGCTCACCCCCGGTAGTGGCACAGGCATCAAACCTTCAACACATGGCCTTTGGAGATATTCCATACCCACACTGTGGCATCCTGTGGCACTGGCTCCTGTCTCCTCCCCAGCTAGCGGCACCCCCTCTCTGCTTTCTGTCTCCTTGGTCTGACCACTTGGTGACCTCAGGGAAGTGCCCACTACAGGGCCTGTCCTATTGCGACTGGCTGTTTCCTTTAGCCCAAGTCCTCCAGGTCCAGCTCCTTTCCTTCTTTGGCTGGGTAACGTCCCACTGTGTGTTTATTCGGTGTCTGTTGACAAGCGTTTGGTTCTTCCCTTCCAGGCGGATAGACCCATGCTACTGTGAGGGCTGGTGCTCAAGTACTTCTAGTCCTTGCTTGAAATTCCCTCAAGGACACACCCCAGGAATGGGATCCCGGGCCACACGGCGAATCTCATGCTTAACTCTTTGAGGCCCTCTGCGCCTTGTGCTCTCTTACAGAGTGTAATACCTTTTTTTTCCTAGCCAGTGTTGGACATGCACACTTAGGGGGGCCCCACCTTTTGCATTAGAAATGTGGGCAGTGAGCCTTGGTAAGTTGGCCCCTTGGGGCAGAAGATGAGCTGGTAGAGGTGGGTGTGTCTAACCCTGGCAGATGTTGCCAAGCTGTCATCATCATGGAACAATCACCATGACATCGGGGATGGCGGCTCCTGGGTTGAGCACTTCGCCATCTGCTCTTTGCCATCTGCTGGTCTCAAGTGGACATGGGCATCTTCCTTCCTTCCTCCCTCCCTCCCTCCCTCCCTTCCTTCCTCCCTCCCTCCC